GAAGGGCAACCAACCACGGAGAGCGACCCATGAAGCTGGATATTCGGCCACACCAACTTCTTCAAGCCAAAACCAAGGTAATGTCCCTAACCGTAGTTCCAATTCTACCCCTAACAAAGCCTTTGATGCATCCAGGTCAACCTCTAAGACACTACATGAAACTCCTAAGACTAGGAGTAGGGATATCAAGTGTTTTAAATGCCAAGGGTTTGGACATATTTAGTCTCAATGTCCAAACCAACGGGTCATGCTAATCACTCACAGTGGCGAGATCGTGTCCGATGATGACGATTGTGAAGAGATACCCGAATTGGTCAAAGGCGACTGCCTGGATGAAGATTCAGCTGAGGAAGATTGCTCGCCTACACAAGGAGAAGTAGGTTGCTTGGTGGCACGACAAGTGCTAACCGTCCGAGTTAAGGAGGACAAGCAACTACAAAGAGAGAACCAGTTTTACACCCGTTGTAAAGTAGGTGACAAGGTGTATAGCCTCATCATCGACGGTGGGAGTTGCACGAATATGGCAAGCTTACTCATGGTTGAGAGCTTAGGGCTCCCAACTACCAGATATCCACACCCCTATCGCCTCCAATGACTAAGTGAGGATGGAGAGGTACGAGTCTTCAAACAGGTATGCGTTCCCTTTTCCATAGGAACTTACACTGATGAGGTTGTCTGTGACGTCGTGCCTATGCATGCTACACATGTCATCTTGGGGAGACCCTGACAATTTGACAAACATGTCACATTCGACGGAAGGGCAAACAAGTACACACTTTTGCACGATGGCAAACGTAAGGTCCTCACACCACTCACACTGGTACAAGTGTATGAGGACCAACTTAAGTTGCAAAAAGAGTGTGAACAAGACCGTCAAAGGAGGAAACAAAAGGTGGTCGACTCTGGCAACAGCTCCACTTCTACAAGTGAGTCATCGACCAAGGGTCAAGTGAGCACACCTAGTGTTACGCATGACAAATCACCCACTACACCTACCACTAGGAAGCAAAACATGATCATTAAGGCTAAGAACGTTAGAAAAGTTGTCAATTCTGATCAGCTTGTACTTCTCATGATTTGCAAACATGTGCTCTTAGATGTTGCTGAGCTCGATAAGGCATTGCCTTCGAGTATGGTTGCTCTTTTGCAGGAATTTGAGGATGTTTTCCCTGATGAGATCCCTGATAGCTTACCACCCATTCGAGAGATTGAGCACCAGATTGACCTGATTCCTGGAGCACCACTATCCAACAAATCTGCTTACTGCATGGGTCCTTAGAAGACAAAGGAATTTCAACGACAAGTTGATGGCTTATTAGGTAACGGTTGTGCAAAAGAGAGTCTCAATCCTTGTGCTGTGCCTGTAGTACTTGTTCCCAAAAAGGATGGTACTTGGCGCATGTGCACTGACTGTAGGGCCGTTAATGCCATTACTGCGAAATATCGTCATCCCATTCCTAGATTAGATGATATATTTGATGAACTAGATGGTGCTATAATATTCACCAAAATTGATCTAAGGAGTGACTATCATCAAATTAGGATGAAAGAAGGCGATGAATGGAAAAAGGCCTTTAAAATCAAACATGGTCTCTGTGAGTGGCTAGTCATGCCTTTTGGGTTGACTAACGCCTCTAGTACATTCATGCGATTAATGAACCATGTTCAGAGGAATTTCATTGGAAAATTTGTCATTGTTTACTTTGACGATATTCTCATATATAGTTGCAGTTAACAAGAGCACATGGAGCATGTAAGATTGGTTCTCGAGACACTTCAATAGGCGCGTTTATACGCTAACTTTAAGAAGTGTACCTTTTGTACTAACGAGTTTGTGTTCTTAGGATATGTAGTAAGCTCACAGGGAATTAAAGTAGATGAGTCCAAGATTGAGGCCATCAAGCAATGGCCAACTCCAACATCCGTCCATGAGGTGCGTAGTTTCCATGGATTGGTAGGCTTCTACCGACGCTTTGTCAAAAACTACAGCACCATTGCTGCCCCATTAACTGCCGTAACAAAGAAGAATGACAAGTTCTATTGGGGAGAAGCCCAAGAACAAGCATTTCTCACCCTCAAAGACAAACTCACACATGCACCTGTTTTAGCATTACCAAATTTTAACAAGACCTTTGAAATTGAATATGATGCCTCTGGTGTAGGTATTGGCGCCGTACTCATGCAAGACAAGAGACCCTGTGCATTCTTTAGTGAGAAGCTAGGAGGTGCTGCCCTAAACTATCCTACATACGATAAGGAGCTCTACGCACTTGTACGCGCATTGGAAACTTGGCAACACTACCTCCGCCCAAGAGAGTTCGTGATACACACTGATCACGAGTCCTTGAAATTTCTCAAAGGGCAACCCAAGTTGAGCAAGCGCCATGCCAAATGGATAAGAAAAAGAAGGCTGATTTTGTGCGCAAGTTACATGAAGCCGTTCGGGCAAACATTGAGAGGTGCACTCAACAATACATCATGCAAGCCAACAAGCACCGTTGTAAGATGGTTTTTGAGCCTGGGGATTGGGTTTGGCTACATTTGCGAAAGGAGAGGTTTCCCAAGCAGCGACAAAGCAAGTTATCCCCAAGAGGTGATGGACCCTTCCGCGTGCTCCAATGAGTTAATGACAACGCTTACAAATTGGAACTACCCGGGGAGTACAGTATTAGCACGACCTTCAACGTCACGGATTTGAGCCCGTTTCTTAACGAGGAGGATTCAGGTAATGACCCAGTCCAAGTTCCATTGGGCCCAGTCACACGTGCACGGGCCAAGCTCTTCAATGAATCCCTCCAAGCCCCTGTTCGAATTGTCCAAGACCAACATGGAGTCTATAGAGATATTGAAGGCTTGGAAAGAAACAATCAAGTAATCTACACCTTGATCCAAGCCCATGAAGGATCAAGTGGGCCTCCACGTGAGTCGGCCGAGTAGGGCCTTAGTCCTTAATACTTATTAGATTGGATTAGTTGTTTTTAGAAGAAGATGGGCCGGCCCATCTTGTCCACCAAGATAGCCGAATTACCTTTTCCTATTCCCCTTAGGGTTTTAGTAACCTCTAGCCTATAAAAGGGCTTGCTTTGTAAGGGTTTAGACACAAGTTTGATGAATAAAGTTTTCTTTTATTTTCGATTCTTCCTCTAAGAGAGAGTTTCGAGCCTTTTACTTGCTTGGCAAGGGTTATTGAGTAATCTTGCATCTTGTCCATGATTGTTCTATCGACCCATCCACTTGAGTAGCCACCTCGATTGGAGTCGTCGTTCTACCGCCTATAATCAAATCGTGTCGTCCGTTTGATTCTAGATTCCGCAATCCAAACGTTGGACAATCTCGCTAGATCCTTGGACAAACGTGCTACATGTCTCAAAACAAGTTGATCGAGGAACGTATCACTCCCTCCATAAAAGAAGTTATTTAGCACACTTTTGTCAAAATAATTAACTATAATACAAATGAATGGGGAGCAAAAAGAAATCTAAACATAATAGAAAAAAAGAAAAAATGAAAATGAAAAAGAGCCATGGAATAATTTTCTAAGATGAGGGCATAATTATCTTTTCGCTACTCATATACATTTGACTTTGAATCAATGGAGGGTATTTCATAAATTTTGTAAATATAGGCAATGAGTTGCCATTAATTTCTAATTATAGGGGATAATATGCAATTAAGCCTTTCAAAATAAAAAGTGTCATACTTTTCCATGGAAAGTATGGTTATATTTAGGAACAATTCACCTTGGGGGCAAGGGTTAAACTGGGTTGAGTGATAAGGTAAGAGAGATTATTGTAAGCAGAAGGTCCTGGATTTAAGATCTCTCACTTACAAAAAAAAAAAAAAAATTGACCCTCCTTAAGGCTTCATGCAAAGCTACTTCCACCATCCTGAACTTACTTCCCCTGTTGACCTAAAATGACTATTTACTCAACTAGACATTACTTTTGCATCATGGCTTGTTTTTATTTACATCAAAAGTCAAAATATGGGAAATAGGGGTAAGCGGTTTTTGGGTTTACAAAGCTACTTTCACTTTCCTAATATTAAACTTACCTCTCCTGTTGGTCTAAAATTACTATTTAACCCTCAACTAGACATTACTTTAGCATCATGGCTTGGTTTTATTTACATCAAAAGTCAAAATATGGGAAGAGGGGTAAGTGATTTTTGGGTTTAGTAGCTCCTGATGAGCTGAAACAATGTCATGTCTGGAACCAATGAGGTAACTGCCACACCATTAGTTTTAGTGATTAGTGAAGTTTTTCTACTTTTTGTATTTGCAACACCTAGAAACAAAAATCCTCTTAAACGAGGAATTTCACGGTTTGTAAACAAACTTTTGCTAGTCTAAACTTCTGGAGAAAAGGATTCACCACATCTCTTAGTAATAGTTATTACTACATGTTCTTGTACTTAAATAATTTCTAGGAAGAAACTTAAATTCTATAGCAAATATCAGAAGGTTCTCAAATTGTTAGTGTTTAGAAAAATAATATTAAGTTAAAAAAGAGGGCTTCAAATTTATGATTACAAATCAATAGATTTAAGACTCAAGGCGATGGATGTATCTTTGCCTAAGAACCCTGGACCTCAATAAAATCATTAAAATACTTGCTGCTGCTTCTGGTCGTAAAACATCAACCATCTGCTTCCCCAAGAAGTAGCAACCTTAACTCTTGGAGTTTGCCATGTTCTAGCCTCCAAGTGAGTGCCTAACAATTAACAAACCATTAAAATTTGAGCATATTTTTTATACACTGTTAATGTAAAAAATTCTTTATACTAACAGGTTTTGATTACGCCATATGACATGAATTTAAACTTGAAATTCAAATCATACGCATGTAATATACTTCTATAGCTACTAGTGTGAAAAAATTACTACACTATGAGCACGTAAAAAGTTAATCCTTAAAATTTTGGGCTTGTTGGCTAGCAAATTGAAGACAAACAGATACCGTACTTCTTGTTAATCAAATTGATGTGTACTCTTTGAACGTATCAAAAGTGAAGCTACTCTAATATTAAAAAAAAAAAAACTCAAGTTTGATGAGGGAAAAGCAATGCTTTTCAATCAAGAAGGTGAAAATTACATACAGCTCAAGGCAGGGAGACTGCCTATTAAACAAAAATCGAAGCAGCAAAAGAGATGTCTTCATTAGCGCACACGCACTCCAAAAGAAATAACCTACTCCTGGAAAGAACTCCTAACGCTACTTCCACTAAGTGGATCAATGAAGTTACACTTGTGACATTTCTCCAAAATTTTCACAGAATCAATAAAATAGGACCAATGAATGACTACATGAAAAAAAAGGACCAACGAAAAACTTGGGGACTGGAACTGCTACAGTTCTACCAAATATATGAGAATGAAGGCCCTGCTAAAAAACTTCGAAACCGGAAAAATTAGTAAATCGAGGGATCACCCGAAGCATTTTTTATGTGCTTGTAGACTAAAACTCAGACGTCAACTACTGGAGAACTTCAAATTCAGCACCAATTGGGAGATGATCACTTGGGTGATAATGATTTGGTAATCCACCTATCACATCAGGGGACTCTGATTCTGGAAGTTCAAGGAAACTGACTGGCTTTACATCTCCAGTAGGAGAAAATAAGATATAATCGAGAGTTCCTGTGAACCCAGGAGTGCAGTTTGTAAAGTGTGGTTCCCCTCTTGTGTAGGCATAAACACTAGATAGAGGAAGGGGTTGATCATCCCGACTTTCTGGCAGGTGCTCAGGCAAAGACGAGCCAGAAACAAGGTACTGATACACCTGAAATAACAGAAGTCTCACTTAAAAATCATAATTACCAGCTAAAAACAATCAGCAACAGCATCCTATTAAAGCTCATTTTAAGATCTTATAAAAATTACGGCACTAAACTTGAATCTCAGAAGAAAATATTCAAAGCAAACTGTATACCAGTACAAATTGATAGTATAATGATTGATTGCCTAAAGATACACACAGAGAAGAGCATATTTAATCATTGAAGATCCAAAAAAAAAAAAGTGATATTTGCTTTTAGTAGAGTATTTCGTGGGAAAATGTTTAACTAGTTTTATTTTAAAATGGGCTCATATATTTAAGTAGCATTGCAAGAAGCCCCAAATCCTTGATTTGGCCAGGAAAGAAAACAGATGAACAATCACATGGATAATATGATTCTAAAAAATAATTCTATCCTAGTAGTTTAATGTTTAACACAAGTTCTGAAAGAAAAATAGTTCACAACACCTATCAGCAAGTGCACCTTTATCTGGAATTTTTAGCTTAAAGGACTTTAACTTGAATACTACCTAATGACAAAAAAAAAATTAACCAGAGAAAACAAATGAGGAGACATACTCATGCAGCCAACAGATAGTGTGTGAATATACAAGCTCTCCAAAATTTTGCTCAAGCACTGAATGGATTCATTGGAAAATGGAAAAGGTGAAGTTTACTTTAGCAAGACATGGGCACTTAGTTGCATAATTGTGTAGTGTCTATTTTGGTTTTTCTATTACAAAGGCTAATGAAAAATTTTCTGTTTTGCAGGAAATTATGCAATTTTGATATTCGTACATACACACATACATATAAATGCTTCCTGCTGTGTCTTTGTCCTAGAATCAAAGTTGAGAACCATTTTAAGGCCTCAATTGGTTTAGTAAAAGAATCTTACTTTGTGTTTGTAAAAAAGTAAATCCTGGTCAAGGTAGAAAAAGATTTTGGAGTCTTAGATAATCTACTTCTCTTCCAACAGAGACAGAATTCAGTCAATAAAAGTTCCTGCAAACTCTAGCCTCCTTCTTCAGGTTATATTATGGCATTTTTGATGCATGGAAGTTTCCAGGAGTCATCTCTCAAGTTCCTTAATCTTTTCTTCATCATTCTTCCACTACTGCAGATTTAACCTAGTATTGGCATGAACTATTTACCATGAACCTTGATAAGCTATCCAACAAGTCCATCAACATCTCAGCAGCTTGGTGCTGCAGCATATTATTTTGCAGTATCTGAAGCCCTAAAGCCTTAGTAAACCTTGCTCAAACACACAATTGTTTGACATATGATGAAAGACAATACAAAAGGCCATATATCTGTTTGCAGTTATTAACACACATATTATTACTGACCAGACAAGTAAATTGTGAGACACATCCTAGTGGCATAGATGCATGCCCACAACATTATACTAAGGCCTTAGCGTCCAAGCATCAAATTCATAGTAGTAAGGGCTCAAGATTGCATGTCCACAAACTTCAAAATGCATACTTTCTATTAGTGTCCCCATCCTTATGGAAAGAGCATGTGCATGACATGATTAGGATAAAAGCTCAGTAGTCACCCCAAACTCAGTCCAGCACATGTATAAACCACACCCAACCAAGGACAAAGGTGGGCCAAATACAGAAAAGGCCCCCATAAAAGCGTAAATGGACACAAGCTGGGTGATTCTTTGAGTCAAGTACCATTATCAATGAATTCTTTGAGTAACAATAAAATGCTGAACATACCATATGGGATATATAGGAATCAAATACCATCCACACAAACAGCACAGCAAACAACAGAAAATCCAAACGAAAAACACACAAGTTGAAAGAAAACCTGATCTCCAGGGACTGAATTGAAGTCACCAGCCACGATTATGGAAGGTGTGCAATCCAATTGGCTAGAAACTAGCTGCTTAAATTGAGCTAAGCAGGAAAGTAGATATTTAGCTTGTGCAAGCTTGACATCAGCCAATTCTGGATCCCTGAAGCAACAAAGTTAAGATGCCCATCATTGATCTCAGGATGGACAAGACAAATGCCACAGAAACCACCAAACAAAATGGACAATAGTAATTTGCATGGATTACCAGTAAAGGTGGGTATTGGCAATGATAATAGGGTCACAGGAAGGAACTTTGAGTTTAAAGACTGCCATGACACCAACACAATCACGTTTCAGTCTAACACGAGGATCATTAAGATCACCATGATCTCCTGGAGCTTTACACAAATCTGCATCTCAAAAAGAATCTCAAGTTGTAGCATAGGAACACCATATGTCAAATAAGTTCAGTTAGACAGGCTTCAGCTGGAAGATGTGTATGAAAGTATCATAGCAACTATATGCACAACTCCTTGTAGTGTGTCAGGAAGGGGACAGTACTAACAGTCATAATTGTTATAGCTAACAACTTTTTTCTGTTCGAGAATTTATGATGTTGAAGACTTCAAAATATTTAATAAATAACAAGCCAGTATATACATGTTATCTTGACGCTTTGGAAGCCCCAAAATGCTATATTTGTTTCTTATGACAGAGAAGAGAAGTGACATGTAATGAGACCAGTATGAAAAATAACTAGGTTGTAAATTATTTGTCAAAAGACAATGCAGAGAGATTGAGAAACATTCAGGGAGAGAATTACCAGAGACAGAAAAGGCATACATTTGACCAACTACAATAGATGAACCCAGGACCATGAAACACTCTGAACTTATACCAGTTCTGCAAACTTAAACTCCTGTCTAGAGGGCCATGCATTAGCCTTCTTACAGTAAGCAAAAATTAAAACAAATTTATTTATCATATCCCTGCTTTTCAATCAGTAAGTAAACTTCTTCCAATATCAAACGAGACTTGGAACATATCTTTCCTCAATATCATCAATGTACAACTATTTAAAGAGCTTCCATATGCAACTGGTACTAAGAGAAGGAAATATGAGAAACTAGCATGTCGATGCAACATGCTGAGTGAATCTTTCAAGTATTAACAAACATCTAATGAAAGGAATCGATAATCTACAAACTACTTAGCATGGACAAATCCCATTTCAACATACAAAGCACCTAACAAAGCTCCAAAATAATCTCCTCCCTGAAACTTAATTACAACACACATCAAAATTTGCTTCTTTTCCTAACTGTGGATAAGAAACAGTTACTCCTTTAACTTCATATTCTAATAGAATCAATGAAGAAGCATTAACACTTTGCTGGGAGTACACATCCAAGTAATCAAAAAATAAAGGAAGAAACCAATCACTGAAACAGGGCGCAACAACTAACTTTCTACAACACAATATTGTCTAGAAATTTCTGAAATTTGCAAGCATGAACTTCTATGCAAGGATGTTGATAATTCTATGTCCCATAGATATAGAATTATGACATACTGTCACACTTCCAGATTAAGGCCTTGTTTGGACAGCAATTTTCCAAAAAAAAATTGCTACGTTTTCTGTGAACACATTTCCCAATCACCTTTTTACCTCACATATATCAAATCGCTACAGTAATTTTTCTACAAAAAAATCCAGAAAAATGCAATCCAAACAACGCCTAAGAGTCTTGTAACATATGAACATTCTTATTTAGTACATCTAGTTTCCATTTTATCCAAAAGAAATGTAACTAATTTAAGAAGGAAACGTAGTAGAGTTATCAAAAGGCTTAATAATGGTATAAATGGAAAGGGAAGGATCAATAGTGCATGTTTACCATCTTTTAATTCATTATCAGCGTTTCCACTTGGTATTGAAACACCATCTTTATCACCAGATGAAGCTGCTGTATCTTCAATAGAGTTTATGAGATCATTGTAATCTATTGCTTGCTCTAAGACCAGCTCTGCACTAATAAAATACCGAAACTGAAGGTCAGAGAAGAACTTTTAAAGAACTGTGTTTTGTAACAAGTTTGTGATTTTGTCTACCCTACATCCGCAAAATGAATATTCAAGAACATCTATTTCTGCATCAGCTACCTCTTGTGATTGAGACTGACAATGTGTGTTTTAAATGGTAACATGGTACATATACAACTTTAATACTAGACAAAAAGGCCAGGAAACAACCCTACGAAAATATGATCCTGATTAGGAACATAACCAACTAAATCCTACTTTTATTAAATATAAATGAGATAAACTGAAACCAACATTACGGCAAGACTATAAATAATTTCACTTTTATTTGCATGAAAATATGTAAAATTTGGTGACATGAATGCATGCAAGAAGCCTTTGAAAAAAAAAATCAGGATGACATGTTTGCATGATCTTAATGTCTAATTATCCAGGGCATCCAGGCAAGTTGGCTCCAGAGAAAGACTCTTTATAAGACAAACAGTTTATACATTTTCAATTTCTGGTTTAATGCAAAGTTTGACTTAAACCAATCACATACAAAATCAGAAAACATTTTTGCAATGTTAAATGAGCTAAGAAAAAAGTCTAATAATGAGAAATCCTTTTTATGCAGCAAATTAAATAAATTTTCAGAAATGCATACTAGAGGATTCAAGATATCCACTTCCAGAAAAGTCAGTTTAAGTACATTTTTACATTTGAAGAACTAAGAAATCAATCTTCCGGTTAAAGCAAAAATGAAAGTAGCACTGTCAAACCCATTGATATCAGGCATCACCATTGCAGGATATACCTGGTACGCTTATAGAAGATAGCACATCCGTCACGCTTTTGTCCACTTCTTTGAACATAGATACTTGAGTAGCCAAGATTCTCCATATTCATCATGTAGAAGCTATCATACTCATCTACTTCCTGGTATACATGAACCAAGACATTACTCAACGAAGAATGCCTAAGTCATGGAAAACAAAGAACACTGAGAAGCTATGAAGATCAAGAGTGTAGAAGAAAAATGCTGTCCTAAGAGTTGAGAAATACTATACGGAAACCTGTAAGCAAAGAAAATCTGCTCCAAGATTCTTGAGAACTGTCAATGTTGCTTGAGATCGAGCTTTCCATCTGTTGAAAAACACATGCTCTTTAAGTACCAGTGTAAAAGTTACAAGCACATGATTGAAAATAAAAGATCCAGATAAGCATGCACTAGATTAACAGACTACTTAAACCAAGGTTGTCGAAACAGATTACATAATTTTATTTCTGACATAATTAAGGATGAAGTTAAATGAAACGAACCTAAAGATTGAACACTTTATTATCCTAAACAATAAGAAAAATCATACAAGAGTTCTTCCAGCAAAGGCTGTTAGTTTGATGGTTGCAAAAGAAAACCAAGCAAACTGAACAGAATAAAGTACCGAGAAAATTAACTTAAGAGGTCAATACATCTTATCTGGAACTGAATGCTCAAGAATTTCAACACAAAAGCAAGCAGCGCAGCAGCAAAGAAATTTTTTCTGTTCATTAATTATGATAGGATCTATGATGTTTCTCCTTTAGCTTTAATGTAGGGCCCAATTTCCATGTCACTTGACATAATCAACAAACATTATAAATGAGATAGAGCTCAAATGTTAGTGATGTTTAAGGCATGCAGAAATTCTGAAAAAAACTTAACTTCAATGCAAAGTGAAAAGGTTCAGAGGATTCTGGTAAGCAAGAGGAACAACGCATAATCAATCCAATTTTTGGGAAAATACCACTCACAAACAATTGTGGAATGAGAGGACTTAAAGATCACATAAAACAGCAAATGTGGACGATATATTTACTTGAGGCAAGATGAGGGAGAGTGTGGAAACAAAGCACTCTTCACGTATGCCTGCAATTAAAAATGATTATACAAACTAGAAAAATTACAAAAAGATGAAACTGTCCAAATTCCATTAATTGACAACCATGTTAACTAAGCATTCAGCTCGTGAAATAGAATGAGAACGGAGGATATCATAGTTGTTTCAGATGGTTCATTACCGGTAATAGGATGAGTGGACAAAATCAACTTCATGCAAAAATCATTCAGATATAGCCTTCAAAGACACAAGACCAAAATACATTTTACAAAGCCAAACAGCACCTGGAACTGCAGTTCCCAAAAAACCACAAATTGATTTCTTGGGTAGTAAAACCTTTCTTTTGAAATCTTTGGTTTATTTTCAGATTTCATAAGGATAACTAAACTTTTTATTTTCTTTGTTATTTCAAACAAATCTTTTTTTGTTGTTGTAAATGACTTAATTCAGAACTAAAAACGATAGATTTGTAAAATCTCTTAACCAATTATTCATCCTCCAAGTTGCCTTTGTATCTTTTTAACACTAGTACTACTAGTACTTGGCAAACCTCATTGCCACTTAAGCACCCACACCATTCGAACTGTTTTATCTGTAGAAAAATAGTCGAATAAACCTTTGGCAAAAATATGGCATAAATTTGAAGGAATTAGGACCAAGTCAATTCACTAAATGCTTAGGGACTAGAATAAGATCAGTTCCAACTTTCAGAAGATAATTCAACAATTTAAACCAATTGTAAAACCCTTAAACATTATCTGAGATATTCCTAACCAAATTTCTTATAGCTTTCTTCTATTACCCAATATGTTCTTTTTGTAAGAAGAGCAAACACAAATGAAAGTACCAACTTAGCAGCAGAAAAAATATCTTTATAGTCAACAAGATAACCAGGAAATCATTCTTTTAACCAAATTCTGTCCAAGTTAAAGCAGAAGAATGAGTAAAGAAAAGATTCTTAAAGTTGAAAAATTGATTTCAAATAAACAGCAATACAGTAAAATCATAATTGAACGTGCAAAACTGCCTAGCAGTTTACTTTGAACTGTATTTGTTTGGGATGCTTAAGTCAACACTATAATAGAAAACTACCGAGTCAAATTGTACTAATCACAGTATTATGTACGTGCCAAAAGTGTTCATGAAGCAAAAACAAGCCCCAATCCACACATGCCAAATATCTACTTTCATGTTAGGCTCAGAAAGCACTTCATGCATTGATAATTCCTCGTTCCTTTTCATGTGAATTCCCACAGGCAAAACAAAACCTTGTGGGTCCCTATCCAATTGAAGCTTGAGCCATGAAGAAAACTTCCCACCCATTCAAACTCCACATCTCTTTGATTCCCTACGCGTGGGCACCTGATATTGATGAGGTTCAACCACCCAAATTACAGCATCCCATCTATTGTGCTTAACCTTCACAATTCTGCTAATATTTCACGTGTTTCTATTATTCCCAAATAATTTTAATACAAATCAGATAAAATGCTTAAAAATTAATTTGAGAGAAACTAAGAAATTCAACCAACTTATAACCTTCATCCACGCACCTGAGCCAGAACGTTATATGACACAAGGCTGAACCTCATGCCTGTAAATAGTACAATCCATTACATCAACCAGCAAGAACAAATTAAAGATCAAAGGACGAAAAAGTAAAATCCAGAAACTTACCGTCAGGCTTACTTATTGATGTAATTTCACTTGTCTCAACAGGAATAAATTTGGGTATTACAGGACCTGCTTTGCAGCTCATTTTGCACAAACAAATTGTACTGCAAAACGATTTTATCAATCCACAAGAACTTGACTAAAATTGCATCAAATCTTCAGGAAAAAGGTCAATTTTTAAACCAAAAACACATATCAACAAACTAAAGTAGGTCTAAACTTCCAATTCTCACTGCACTATAGCTTATGGCTACCAAAACTATCGAAACTAATATGGCATTCTCTCAATAAAATGGTAGGCATTAGACTTGGGATGGTTATAGTTTTCAAGCTAAACAAGAAAAGAAATATTCAACAATCAATGGTTTTTCAGAATAATGAGTTTGCAATAGTACTACAATTAATCAACATATTCATCTTTTTTATTCAACAATTCCTCACAAAATCATCAAAAATTGAGGCAGGAGCAACAACCCCAATACCCAAATGGCCCAATTAAAATTTGCATTCAAGTATTGAAAATTCCATTAAAACCATGCACATATTACATATAGTAGTAACTGGTATGTGAGTTTGGGTACCTGGAAGAGTAGGAAGGAGAAGAGAAGCGAGGGAAGAAAAAGTAACTTGCTCTCCACATTCTTTCTTTCGAATACAATTGGTGGTCCGGATGATTTTATTCCTTAAACCCACGGCCCACGTCCTACAGCCCACTGAGTGAAAGGCCGAACAAGATTAATTTGCAAGGCCAGTGCAAAAACATGTGGTTTTTTTTTTTTTTTTTTTGTGCACAAGATCAAATATTTTGTTTATACTCTATAGTTGCATGTGTACATAAATTCTTTGTCCCAAAGTATTTTCCTCCAGAGCTAGGCTAAATACACACCCTTATCATCTAAATCCAAACCCCTATTACATGCATTAAGAACTTACACCATTAGCATTAATAACTTGTAGCGTTAGCACTAAAAATTGTACCAATTGTGGAATTTGAACAAAGGCGTATGGATTTAGCCCATCTTCTCTTAACATGTGGTTTTCTGTAATTTTTTGACATTTGGTTTTGTTCAAAACAAATTACTCCCTCTGTCCCATATAATTAGTTATGTTTGGGAATATGTGTTTTTTATACACGAGACACTTCATCAAAAAAAATTTCCTTTTGTTCCACTTGTACCCTTAATCATATGCTGGTCAAAGTAAGAAGTAGAAAGCAATCTTATCACATTAGTCTTTATACATCATTAATAAAGGACATAAAGTGAATTTCAGAGAATAAAATAGTTAGAAATATTAAACATAACAAATATTTTGGGACAACAAAAAAAAAAAGTATGACACTTTCAATGGGACGAAGAGAGTCTATGAATTATAATCTCTTCTTTTGTAAACCAACACTAGGATTTGTAAAAATATTTGTGCCACCCCTAATTTATGTATCTAAATGAAAGATGGATTGGAAAAGGAAATAGTGCTTAAATGGTTTCAAACTTGTTTGAGAAGCAAAAAAAAATTGTCAATTTTAGAATGAAATTATTTGGATACTTAACATGATTCAATAATAGCATTTGCAACCTTTAATTACAAACCCATATTTTTTCCCATCCTTTTTGTCTAGCTGCCAAAAAATTGTGGAATTAGTACTGTTAAATACATCCAATTTATTTTAATTCATCAAAATATCATTAATGCCTCTTGCTTGGATTGAATCTAATAATTTTCTTTTATTAGTTCAGTTTAGTTCTTAAACACAAACTCCTTCAATCATGGCATATAAAACTTAGGAAAGAAATGTAAACTTTTATGATTTCAAAATTGCTCGGATAGAATCTAAAAATGTTCTCTTTTATCATCACAAATTAATGATTTACAAGTTCAAATATTGAGTTTAAAGAAGGACAAGATATTAGGGACTTAGGGATTTAATAAAATTTTCATAAGTATGGATATTTATGCATGTCCATCATGTGTATAGGTTTAATATCTAGAGATCAATCAAGCAAAATTATAGTTAATTAAGTTTGAAATTAAGGTAAGTGGTTTATATCATCTTTGTTTATTTAGAAATACCTATTTCACTAAATGCTTACAAGAACGGTATTATGATTGACACGTGCTTTTTAAAAAAAAAAAAAGTTATGTTTATATATAAATAGGTCTTATGTTAATAATTTATGATTCAAAATATGACTGTATGAGTGAAATTACTTTGCAAAATTATGATGATTATACTTGATACTAGGTAAGCTTTCCCGCGCAATGCACAAGCGCCAGGTCGATGTGTTTAAATATTGGTGAATTGTTTGAATTTTTGATTATATTTTGGGGATTTTTGAGAAAGTATGGTGGTATGATTTTTTATTGGTATATTGGCGGATTGCATTTATTTAATTATTGCGGTTCTTTTAGTGTTATTTTATCTTTTAATTTATTTGTAAAAATTTTATTAAGGTTTTTTGTGTATTTTTTGTTTGAATTTTGTTTGTATTTTTAATTTGTTGTTTGCTTCACGTGTGTACAGTAGTAGATATTATTTGGTGGCAGGATTTATTTTTTGGTATTCACATGCGTACAGTTAATAGTTCTTTGGAACTGAGATGTAGTATATAAGAGTGGGGTGGTTTGTTTATTTGGTAACTGAGTCTTATTTGGTCTTGGTTTATCTGTAGGTGAATTAATGGCATATAATGATCGAGTGTTTTCAATAGTTCAGGATCAATGTCCAGAGTTGGAGGAGGAGCTGAGTGGGCTGAGTATTAGTTGTAATACTGCTTATCCTATGAGAAACTCTTGTCGAAATCATCCTGCTGAACCTATTAATCGGTTTCAAGTTACTCATGTTATGCTGAAGAATGAGATCTATGATTTTTTTAGGGTTTTATATAGGGATTGTGAGGCGGGACGTGTGTTGGACAGTGGATTACGGGGTGGGAGGAACTTGCCGATGCTGGAACTTATTGCTTCAAGAATCAAGTTTGATGTAGCTAAGGAATTGTTGTTCTTGCGGTGTCGCCTTCTTTTGACAGTTCTGGTAGTCATAATGATTGAGAAAGCGTTGTGGTGTCTGTGTTGTTTAAGGTGTAGTAAGGTGTCTAGTGAGCTAAGTGTTAGTTTTGTGTTTTTGTTTGCACTGTACTGTGTGATTTCGGTTGTAGCAAGGTGTTTAGTGAGCTAAGTGTTAGTTTTGTGTTTTTGTTTTCAGTGTACTATGTAATTTCGGTTGTAGTGTCTCTGTTTTTAATCTAAATGAATAAAGCATTAGCGCTTTGCTTTTATGTATTATTGAATTGAATAATAGAAGAAGCTGAATTTGTGGAAAGAGCTGTGGATAAGTTATTTTATTCTGTATAATTAGCTATTTTATAATCTGGTCTTAGTTGAGTTCTTTTTTGTGTTGGATTTTAGTGGCTGTACATATATGGATTTGGAAGTTTTTGGCACAATATGGATAAGATTTGTTTGTGGTTGACGTGTGTAGAATGTGCAGTGAATTGTTTTATTTTTTTCTATGGAATCTTTGTGATTCTATGTGCATGTGATTTTGCTCACGGGTTTTGGAAGGTTGTGGTACTATATAGATAGCGTTGTTCTCTATTATCTATAAGTATAGTGTATAGCTAGTTTCTTGTCATGGTCTAAAATTATTGTTTAGAAATAGAGTATAGTCATAATCGTTTTGGAGTATTGCGTGATTTGCATCTGGATGTTGAAGTTATGTTTAATAGATTGTCATTAGCTGGTGTTGCAGGGAGTTTGGCTGGACGTGATGGGGATAATAGAACTTTGAGTGGTTCCGATAGGTCTTTGGCGCACAATATTTTGCTTCGAAATGAAATATATGATTTGTTTAAGAAGTTTTATAGCAAATCTAGTAGGGTTGCTGTACTGGATGAAGTTTTGGGAGATATCGGAGAATTTCTATTTCTTCAGATAATTGCTCAACGTATGGAAGTTGAGGTCGAAGAACAGAAGAAAGCTATTACAAGTGCTATGGTTTAATGTTTTTATGTTTTCTTTTTTTTTTTATGGTTTTCTTGTGTTGATTGTGGCTTTTTGTATTTTGTTTTGGTATTTTGATATTGTGCAGATGCTTGTGTAGTAAATAAGTAGTATCAGGTACTGCGATTGTGTAAATGAATAAAAATGAATAAGAAGTTCAGCTGATAAGAATATTTGTACCTGATATCTAGATACTTTTTATGCACTTGATATATATGCGCTTATTTCGTAGTTACAATTTACAAAATAGAGGCTATCATTCATTGATATAAACATGAACCTTTACAAAAGCACAATCTGCAGTTGTCGGTGGTACAGAAAATGTTCAAAAGCATAATTATAGCTGTGATTCAAAGCTACATGGACTAATGATCTGGTTCAGGCCTTTAGTGATTTATGAGCATTAGGGTTATGTACAATGATAGGGATCGCTGATCATTAGATGTTCAAAAGATTTGTCAAAAGTGTAGGGAGAGATGTTACATGCTAATGCTCCATGTCAGTTGGGTCAATGCGCTGTCTTTTAGTTGGACTTTCTGTAATCTTGAGTGTTGTGAACAAGTTGCTGTCCAAGCTTGTAACACTTAGGCTAGCAACTGGATTTGATGGTTCTGGAGCTGAAGATGCATAAGTAGAAGAAGTAGGAATTGATGTTGGATTTGTAGAAGCGTTTGGTATCATTTCTGCAACATTTGCTTTATGCACTATTATGGCAGTGTATTTTTCTGTGTCGCCAGATCCTCAATTTCCAGTCATTTTTTTGACAAAGCAGGTGATGATAGTGTTTTCAATAGCTTGTTCAATAGCAATGTAGTCGAGCTGGTGCTGTAATGTTCATCTTTTAATATTAGTTCATACAATGCATGTGAGTTATTGTTTAAATGCAGCTTAATGAGTTTTAGTGGTGGATGTGTACTGACCTTGTCTTCAAGTTCTTGGATCTGTGGTAGAGTGAAGGGCACTAACTGTTGTGCATCATTCTTGCATAGATTGAGTGTCAGCATTCCAAAGTAGTCAGTGAGTTCTATGGTCAATCTGCTTCTGCGATTGTGATTAGTAATTAGGGCAGTAACAAGTGGTGAAATAGTGTGCGAGATTGTTATTATGGCAGTTACCTTGGAATAACATTAACATGCTTATTGTAGGAGGTGCAGATAATTTTCCATAATGGTTTTGCTTTGAATGATTTGTGACAGTTTGAGCATGCATTATACCATAGTCGTTGGCTTTTGTCAAGGAATCGTGGAGTTCCTCTGATCCAGAAAACCTTTTTTTGGCAAGAAATGAGGTTTTGAGTTAGTTAATTTGATGGGTTAAGTGGTGAATTAAGGAGTTAGAGGTGTGAAAGTTGCAGAAGCTTACCATTGGGAATTTTAGGAAGTCCTCAATTGTGCAGAGCTCATTTTCCATAGGTTCTGACAGTAGCTTGGCTTGATCACGGTATGCTCTTTGTGTGATAAGCTCATTGATTTGTGACTTGTTTTGCAAAGCTCTTGTGAGCAAAAAGTGATTGTTAGTTGTTGAAGTATTGTAGAAACATTACTATAACAAAGGTTGTAGGGTTTATGTAGAACCAAGTGTTTACCATTCTTTCAGCATTGCAGCTTGTTGTATTGGAAGGTTGACCAAGATGCTTGATCCAAACCTTGTT